AGCCGGGTCCGGACCCGGGGGGCGGCCGAAGCCTGGAATCCCTTCCCTCGTTTTCGCGGGAAGCCGTTTCTTCGGCTCTTGGAGGGCGCAAACGGGACGGTCCTCTGCCCCGGAAAGTTTCCAGCCCTCACCCTGCGCCCAGGCAGGGGCACCCCGCCCTCAGCATCCTTGAGCCGCGATTTCTCTCACCACCGCCCCACCTACCCAGGAGACCCGGGGGCCGGCTTTGCCGGAGGTGACAGGCTTTGCTGGGTCCGTCCCCGCGCACAGTAGCAAGGTCGCCAAGCAGAATCAGTCCAGAGGTGGAGGGTGCTCGCTGCAGGCTGGCTGTGCCCAGGACCCTGGGTCCACGTTGTGGGGGTCTTTGGGCCAAGGTCGCTGTGCTCAGAGCTCCCTGGGTGGTGGGCAGAGGGGAGGATTGGAGCTGGGGAAAGGTGGGGGACTGCTGGCAGACCCCCAGGGCTCAGCTGTCTGCTCTGAGTGCCCCCCTGGGGGCCCCTGCCCTTAGGGACCTCCAGCCTGGAGCTGCCAACATGTCTGCCAGCACTAGTGCTGCTCCTCCATCCTCAGTCTTGGGGGAGGCTCCTCTGGGCCATGGGAGGCCTTATCGGCTGCTTCCTCTGTTTCCCAGACTGGGTCCCGAAGGCCTGGCTTTGGGGGCTCCTTCCTGAAGGCTGAGGTGTTAGGCAGTGTTGGGGCGCTCGCTGTGCATGTCTGACCTCCCGGCCACCCGCAGGCTGGCACCCCCACAGCCTCTCTGGGAAGCCCGAGCTCTCCACCGCCCGCCAGAGGGAGGCACAGTGTGGGAGCCAAGTTCAGGCGGACTTATTCTTTCAGAGCCTTGGGAACGGGCCTGGCATGGGCTGGGCTGTCACAAGAGGCACAGACCAGTGCTGCCCTCCTTGGAGCTGTGCTCGGCCACCTGCCTCCTCCAGACCCGGCCCTGGCATATGCCAGTGTGGGGGGGGGTGGGGGGGTCTTCAATGGGTCGCTCTGCGTTAAGTGCTTTGAAAGGTGCCTGCACCGAGGAAGAGGTCTGTGTGTGCGATTAGACGTGTTTCTCCCACACTTTTTCTCAGGGTTGCCCCATGATTCTAGAGAGGTGCCTGGGGGGGGGGTGCCAGCCGTTCGGTGCCTAGAAATGAACTTCTGGGGCTTTTTCTCTTCGCTGGGAGCTGGTCTGGACCCTCCCCCACCCCCTAAACCGAGGTGGCCCAGGTCGCTCTGACCTGCTCCCTCTCTGCTCCTGTTTCTACGCCCAGTGCTCTCCACGTTTCATCCCTCAGCATCGGTGCGCTGTGTGGGAGAGCTTAGGTGCGGTGGGCCCTGCGTCCACTGAGGAGAGCCGCAGCTGGGCCGGACCCCCAGAGACCAAATGGACAGGAGCTGGGAGGGGAGTTTAGATGGAAGGAGAAGTCAGGAGAGGGAGGGGAGAGTTGCCTGCTTGCGCTGTGGGCTGAGAGGCGGCTGTGGCTGGGGAGTGGGCTGCTGCTCCGGACAGCAGGGCGCCTCCCCGAGACTGGAGGCCCAGGCCCAGGAGCAGGTGATGCCTTCAGGGCTGCCTCCCCGCCTCCCCACTCCCCAGAAGCAGTCCTGGCCCCTCCACCTTCCCACCCTTTTTAGACTCGTAGGATCCAGTGTTCTGGGTGAAACTGAACGTCTGCTCCTTTCTGGAGCTGTAACACTTCCTGAAAGTGACATCCCCGTCACCGGCAGGGACGGAGAGGCCAGACCATTGTGTGCTCCAGCCAAACCTGGCCATTCCGCAGCGAGCCGCACCGCCGGCAGCGGCCCTGCGGCGGGTGCCCC